TGGTCCGCTTGCAGATTGAAATTTCAGCGACGGTGCGATCGAACGCCCACCCAATCCCTGCCCTCACGATATTCCCGATCGGGAGACGCGGCCTAAGTCCCTGTCCGGTAACCGCGGTTGTGCGCGAGGCAACGGGCACGCGTCGTTCCCGAACCCTGCAGTTTGCCTAGGTTGTCGGCGTCACTACTGATACTGAATCTCACAAATGGGGGGGTGGGCAGGTATAGCACGACGGCGCTGCCAAAAACGAGTGTTTCGCCGGTCTCAGCACGATCGGGATCGGGTAGTGATTTGGATTTGGACCGACTCATGCAGAATGCATCTTGTCGAATCGACATGCACTCAAGAGAGACTGGCTACGACTATGTGTCTTGAGGTGGGAGCTCTCCTGCTTCGTTCTCAGCGTTGCTGCAGGTGCAGGGAGTCGATGTTTATGAAGCACACACGATCCAGCTACCTAGGCCCCTGCAGATCGAAGCAGTCGTAAGATGAGGGAGCAGATGGGGAGCAGCAATTAATAGGCGTGATCAGATACGGCACGGATGGAGCTGTGCATTTCGCAACCACATAGATAGACCTGAAGGGGCCAAGCACAACGGTCCCGCGCGGAGGACAGTTGGCATTCGCTGAACACCTGGTACGGTGGACAGCCTTGAAAGTGGTATGCGAGTGCACCGCCTGCTCGCCGATCTGGCTTGGGAGAGAATTTCTCTTCAGTTGCCGGAAGTTGACAATATGCTGAATGCTCGGGACGGCTTCGTGTACCTTTTCCATTCCAGTTTGGAGGGAAAGTTCACGCCAGTCCCGTGACCAAGATATTCTTGGTTCTCAGCCATCTTTTCTTTGCGTTACCTCGAACTTCCACCCATCACATCTACCCTCCCCCCTCTGTCGCCTCACTGCCACATTGGACGCACGGACCCGTGCTCTCTCTCTCTCTCTCTCTCTCCACACAGACACGCCGCGTTTATCCACCAAGCGCGCTTATCGCGTCTGGAGTCGGGAAAACACCGGATGGGTATCCTCTCAGAAAACTCGAACTCAGTTGTATTGCCGCGATGGAGCCTTCCTCTGGTCATCCACGTCGTTCCCGACATGTTGCAATGAGAGACGACCGGAGACACGTCCAGGAGCGCAGAGATCGTGGCAGACCAGGTCAAGCTGCGGCAGGCTCTCGCAGATCTGCATCGCCTCCTCCTCGTCGGCCCCACGATAGCGACCGAAATCCTGATAGACGTCCACGAGACCCGCATCCCAAGCGCCCGTCTTCTGAGAGGCCGACTCCTTCCCCCCACGACAAACAACGCGATCGCAGCAGAGACCGGGCTCGCCGCCACTCGCCATCATCCAGTCGTCGTGACGACCGCGAAGACAATCCTTACCACGCATCACGGCCCCGAGATCTCATCGATACGCGCCGGGGGGGTAGAGACGAGCCGAGGGGCGACACTCGCCGGCCACGCAGCCCGAGCCCTCGACGACGTCCCGACGGCCGTCGATTACCATCCCTATCAGCAAAACGTACAAGAAGCCGGAGTCCTCTTGCGACTGCCCGAGACGGCAAATCAATTCATCGAGACGACAACCGTCGACAAGATTCAAGAGACCGGCGGGGAGACCTGTTACCACACAGGGAGCCACGTAACGCCTCAACACCAGTCTCCCGCCGTTCTCCCTCGCTCTCCCGCGAAAACACTCGCCCCGGGGCTCAAGACAGCGCGCGGAACGGACGCCGCAGTCGTTCGCGGTCCCCGGCCCGAGGGGAGCCCCATCACGCATCTCGCGGTCACTCGCGGTCACGGCGGCGCTCCCGCTCGCCGGTAGATCGCCGTCAAAGGTCCCCAAGGGCACGAACACCCCCATCTCATCGACTCCCGAGGTCGCCCTCCTCGCCGCGGGCTGGTTCTAGGCACGGCTCGCACCACGAGTCCGACCACATTCGCCAAAATCGATCTCGTCGTGCATCACGATCTACTAGCAGGGGATCGGGACCTAGAGCAAGGAGAGGCGACGAAGTACGATCTGGGCGACAGAGCTCGCCAGGCACAAGCGGGAAGGAAGACAATATGTCGGGACGTGGCAGCCACCGTGGAGGCTTCAATGCTCGCCACCAGGCGCACAACGCTTTTGCTGGCAATCATGGGTATAGTGACCCCTATCAGTACTATCACCCTCCCCCCCACTTCCCTCCGAACCCCTACATCAACTCACCTAACATGTCTCCCTACGACATGGGCGGTTGGGGTGGCTCTCCCCACCAGTATGTCTCTTTTGAAGCGTTTGCAGATTTATCAATGTACCGAAATATTCGCTAACCTGTTCAAAAGCCAGTATCCCCCTCAGTATCCACAGGGACCTCAGGGCATGTATCCGCCGCAAAACGGGCCCCAAGGACAATATCCACCCTCGAACCCATATTCACCTCCCCCATCTGCCCCAACAGGCCCGATGCAGCAATATGGCAGAGGTAGCAACTTCCGCGGAGGCAGTTCAGGCTTCCGAGGCAATCAATTCAGTGGTGCACGTGGAGGCTACCGCGGGAACAATTTCAAGAGCGCGCAGTGGAACGCTTCACAAACGATTGGAGGTCGGGGCTCGTCTGCGCAAGGGGACGATGCCAAGTCACAGAAGTCATCCAATTCCGCCGTCGCAAGCGTCAAGTCGGACAAAGACGATTTCGAAGAGCAACCAAATTCCTTTCGTCCGTCCAAAGACCTCCAGGTCGAAGACACGTCGCCCCCCGTGATCTCAGATGATAAGGAAATGGCTCCTCCCACGCGGCCTCCTCCATCTGGTCCAGCAGCACAATCTCCGGCGTCGTCGGTGTCGTCAAAGTTCAGTTTTGCATTTAAGGCATCTGCAAAACCCACTCCCGCGGTACCGAAACCAGAGATATCTCAGAAATTCAATGCTTTGCCTCCAAAGAAAGAGCCGACTCAGCAAACTGACGATAAAGATACCAACAACCGCGATCGGGAACGGGAACACGAGCACAGAGCTCGAGAGGACCGGGAACGGGAGCGAGACCGGGAGCGAGACCAAGAGCGTGACCGCGATCGTGAACGTGATCGCGAAAGAGACCGTCGTGATCGCGAGTACCGGGAACGCGACCGTCGCGAGCGGGACTACCGCGAACGAGACCATCGTGAGCGCGACATTCCACGCGGCGCACCAACAGAACCGGCATCTGCTAGAGGAAGGCAAGACGCAAGGCATCATCAACAACCACCACCTCCGGGTCCGAAGGCAGCACCACCGCCTCCCGCCCCCAAGACTCGGATTGTGAAGCAAAAGATGAAGCGTCTCAAGCCGCGGCTGAGCTTACCACCAGATCTCGTCAAGTCCGAATCAGTCTACTTTCGAAAGCCTGGCAACGAGTCGGTTGTTGGTTCTGGTACCTATGGCAAGGTGTTCAAAGGTCTACACTGCTACACCAAGGATCTGGTTGCACTGAAGAAGATTCGGATGGAGGGCGAAAAGGACGGGTTCCCTGTGACGGCTGTCCGCGAGATCAAACTCCTCCAGTCGCTCCGACACCCCAACGTTGTCGAGCTCAAGGAGGTCATGGTGGAGAAGAATGACTGTTTCATGGTCTTCGAGTATCTTTCTCACGACTTGACGGGCTTGCTCAATCATCCTTCCTTCAAACTCGATGCTGCCCAGAAAAAGCATCTTGCCAGGCAGGTTTTCGAAGGCCTCGACTATCTTCATGTTCGCGGCGTTTTGCACAGAGATCTCAAAGCTGCCAACATCCTGGTCAGCAGCGACGGAATCCTCAAGCTTGCCGACTTTGGTCTGGCACGCTTCTACGCCAAACGGCATCAGCTCGACTATACAAACCGTGTCATCACGATATGGTATCGTTCTCCTGAGCTTCTCTTGGGAGAGACGCGATACGGCCCAGCTTGCGACATGTGGAGCACGGCTTGTATCCTGATGGAAATCTTCACGCGCCACGCCATATTTCCTGGCGACGGTGGCGAGATCAGTCAACTCGACAAGATTTACAATGTCATGGGGACCCCGAACAAAGCTGAATGGCCCGGTCTTATCGACATGCCCTGGTTCGAACTCTTGCGGCCAGGTTACCGACGGGCCAGTTCTTTTGCCGCCAAGTACAGGGACAAGCTCACACCCGCCGCTTACGACTTGATTTGGTCCATCTTCAAATATGACCCAGCGAAGCGCCCGAGTGCAGCCGAAGCTCTTCAGCACACATACTTTATGACCGAGGAACCGCCTGCGCGTCAAGCCATTGAGTAAGTTCTCAAAACAACCACCCCTGTCCGCATTGCTCATTCTAACACACTTGATAGGCTCGCAAACTTGGATGGTGACTGGCATGAGCTTGAGTCGAAAGCACTCCGCAAGGAGAATGAGCGGAAAGAGAGAGAGGCCCGGCACGCAGCACGCAGCAAAGACGGTCGAGACCACCGACAGAAGGAGAAAGATCGCAAGCGTGAGAATGAGACGCATGACCAGCGCGGTGATGCCAAACGACTGCATGTGGAGGGTAAACCGCCGCAGCCTGTGGATCACGCCACTGCCGCTGCTGCGCACAAGGCCTAGCGGACCAAGGCGTTCGAGAAGGCCCAGGGCATCTCGAATCGCTGAGTTTGCCAGCGACTCGCACGGCGTGCACATCCACGCAAAGGAGACATCACAGCGTTCAGTTCAACCCAGGCCATCTCGCCGACAGAGAAAGAGAGGAGCGGCTTACCGGTTCATATTTCGAATCATGATTTTGGCGAAGCACTAATATTGCATGCACACGGCAAGGCGTTACGGATTGCAAGCTCGGCTGGTAGAGCTGGTAGAGCTGGTAGTGGGAGGCGGACTTGAGGCAGCACACTGTTGCATTTGCATTTTCGGAAGAGATGCACGCTCCAGGCTACTCTCGAGGATGAGCATTCGGGGTGTGCCATGCACCGATATTCCTCCCCCGTCTAGGGGAGAAGATGGCCTGTGGGCGCGCGACGGGACAATGCCATGGTGACTCGGGAAGGGGTGTCAGAAATGGCCGTGAGCTTGCGGGTGAAACGTTGATGTTCACCACGGCAAGCAGGCTTCACATTGTCTTGCCGACATGTTTATATACCTCTGTATATTGTGACAAAAGTCAAATCAGACATCATCAAGCCCATTCTTCATCGAGATGTGATGCTAGTGCATTATGCTTGGCGCAGTGATGTGTGGCCCATCGTTTCTCTCCCTTCCGTCAAGCTCCTTTAGGCATGTTGACCAAGCGGACTAGAAATACTCTCTACACAGCACTTGAGGCGTGGGCCTTGTGGTCGCATCGCCAGGCGATGCCGAGCGGTGGGTAAGGTGAGTGATTACCTAAACACCATCAAGCTCCATTGCACTAGTCCCCTTGTGTCCGAAACCACACGTCGCGACAACTCCCACCCGATCTGGCCTTACACGTAGAGGGGAGCTGCCGCCGAACCCAATATTTTACACCACGCTGGCCCGACCCTGGGACTCGTGCAAGACTGTGGACAGGCAGAGCTCACACGCACCCCTTCCCTCCCAGCTCAAACTTATTGGTAAAACCACTACATCTAGTGCAGCCGGCGGCAACCTCCCGCTGCCCCAATCCACCACCCGCCATGTTCAACTCTCTCAACCGCATCCAGAACGCCTTTGGCTTCTTCACAACGGTCGCCTTCGTCGTCGCTACCTTTATCGCCCTGTCCGATGTCGTCACCCCGCGCGCCCCCACCGCCGGCGTCATCAAGACCGACTCGCTCCAGGTCGTCAAGGGCCGCCCGCACTACTACAGCAGCAAGAAGGAGGAGTACGCCATCATCAAGTTCTCCCTAGAGGCCGACCTCTCTGACCTCTTCACCTGGAACACGTGCGTCACCCTCCGAACCCCTTGCCTTGCCTGCGGTTTCCTGCACCTTTTGAGGGCAGTGAGACTACAAAGAACAAGAAGAACGAGGAGGAGAGAAAGAAAAGAAAGGCACAAAGAAAGAGAGAAAGAGAAAGCTAACAAGTGTTCCACAGCAAGCAAGTTTTTGTCTACGTGACGGCAGAATGGCCCTCGGCGACGGGCGGCGCCAACGCCACGAACGAGGCCGTCATCTGGGACCAGATCATCACGTCGCCGAGCGCCGACCACCTCGCCAACCTCGGCCCCGTCTCCATGCGCAAGCTCCGCGCCAGCGCCGCCGGCAAGAGCATCGACCCCCGGCCGCGGCAAGCTCAAGGCTCAAGAACCAGAAGCCCAAGTACAAGATCACGCACCCCTCGGCAAGCTCGCCGAGGCCGACAATGTTC